TTCCTGGTGGCAACAGTGGTGAAAATGGCCTCCCAATCTTCTCCAACCACAATGCTTTCACAATATTTGCCATCTCAAATGCTGCATCTCTCTTCACATCAGCCACTTCCTTGCTCGTCTTCTTGTCCATCCTAACTTCGCGCTATGCAGAGCAAGACTTCCTATATGCTCTTCCCAAGAGATTAATCATAGGTCTCGTCACCTTGTTTTTGTCCATAATATTTATGATGATTGCCTTCTCCGCCACAGTGTATCTCGAATTTGGGCATAACAGAAGGGGAGTTCTTATTGTAGTGGCTGCATTTGCATGTTTGCCGGTCACTTCATTTGTGCTTCTTCAATTTCCTCTGCTGGTAGATTTGGTGTCATCTACATACGGACGGGGCATTTTCGATCAGCGTGGCTTTCCCCAGCTCCCATTTTGACTTGCATGCCACTCATATTGACTTTGTAAGGCTTTGATCATTTTAATTTGTGGTTCTAGCTAGGCAAATTGCATTTTGTTATGAGCTTTCTCCTCAATCAAAGAGACTAGTTTCACATAATGCAGATACCATATCGGCATATCCTATATGGTTACCATATTTTTCCATGAATATGTTTTAATAAGGAATAAGGGTCAAATAGGCCATTGAACTGCACACAATAATGCAATTAGGCCACTGAACTTTAAAAAACAATAATTAGGCCACTGAACTTTAAAAAACAATAATTAGGCCACTAAACTAACAAAATTCATTCAATTAGTCTAATTTATAGGTTTTGTAGGTTAGTAACAGGTCACCCAAAAATTTTAAAATATTTTTTTTTTTAAATTATTATTTAAAAATAATAAATTAAAATTAAAAAAAAAAAGGTTTCTTCGCTCTGCCGGAGACGAAGAAAGTTTCTTCGTCTCCGGCCATGGAGATGAAGAGTCTCTTCGTCTCTGGTCGGGGACGAAGAGTTTCTTCGTCTCCCGCGGAGACGGTTAAACTTGCTTTTTTTTTTTTTTTTTTAAAAATTTTAATTATTATTTTTAAATAATTATTAAATATATATATTTTTTAAAATTTGGGTGACCTGTTACTAACTTGCAAAACCTGTAAATTGGCCTTAATTGCATGAAAATGGTTAGTTTAGGGACTCAATTGTTGTGTTTTTAAGTTCAGTGGCCTAATTGCATTATTGTGTGCAGTTCGATGGCCTATTTGACCCTTATTCCTTTTAATAAAATATGTAGACTTTATACAATATTATTATGCTTTTTAACTATCACAGGCCGCTTAAAGTAATTCTTAAGGGGTGAATTCAATCATGACTTTCATATAGTTTTAAAAACTTTTATGAACTTTAAAAGTTTAGAGTTATTCAATTCAAACTTTTAGATCAGAGAGTCTTTAAAAGTCATGCGGTATTCAATCAAGATTTTTAAAGGTTCTTTAAAAGTCGTGTAGTATTCGATTAAGACTTTTAAAGAGTCTTTAAAAAGTCATGTGATATTCAAAAAGTTATGAACTTTTGTAGACTTTTTAATTTTAGGACTTTTGTAGACTTTTCTTTCTCAAATATAAATAGTTGAAATCCAACCATCAACCTCAAGATTTCAAAATTTTCTTTCTAACAACTTTAAATGTTTCTCTCTCTATTTAAATTCGATTTTTTCTCCCTATTATTTCTAATGTTGTTGTATTCTGGTCTTATTGAAAATTTGTAGAGTACATGTATTCTTGTTTATTGTGCATATATATAATAATTTTTGTTGACATTGTGAAGTTGAGGATAATAATCTACTCACTAGACCACGCTTTTTAGAGTGTATATTATGCTTCGGCTATGTTTGACAAAGCTTATTTTAAGTATAAGCTCCTAACTTAAAATAAGAGTTTATTTTGGAACGCTACTTTAGATAGCGTTTCAAAATAAACTATTTGCTTCCTAACTTTTATTTTCATCTTTGTCCTTATTATTATTATTATTATTATTATTATTATTATTATGGGATGAAAGAGATTCACAATAATATTGCTACTTCATTATGGGATGCTAGATCATGATTTTGCTAATAATTTTATTTCAAAATGTTAATTTTTTTTTTTTAAAGACAAAACGTTAAATTTTAATATGTTAACAAACTATTTTAAATTTTTTGAAGATGTCATTTTTAGTCCTTTTACATTTATTAACTTACCAAAAAAAGCTAATTTTACCAAACACTTTTAATCATAACAGCTAGCTTAACAGCTCTTCAGTTTTCAGCTCCTAGCTTATAGCTTTTCAGCTTTCAGCTCCTTTTCAGCATTCAGCTTCTAGCTTATAACTTTTCAACTAGGTTTGCCAAGTAGAGCATTCGTTTAGCTGGTTGATGTAATTAAAGCAACCAATCTCTGAATTTGAAACTCTTAACACACACACACACACACACACACACACACACACACACACACACACACACACACACACACACACACACACATATATATATATATATATATATATATATATATATATATATATATATATATATACACATACAATTCTAACTGGAATAAAAAAAATGTCGGTACTACTTGTTTCTTAAAATGAATGGTTCATAGTATTTTAATTTTAGTATTTTTAATGATTTTCCTTATTTACCCTTTATTATATTATTTTTTTTCCTTAAATAACCTTAAATTCCGTTAGTATAAACTTTATTAACGGAATATTTCGTTAACTATTTATTATTATTAACTTACTCATTAATTTCTATAAGAAAGGTCTTAGGTTCGAACCTAATTCCAATTAGAGTTATAGCATAATTGTTAAATATATACTACGAATATGTTAAAATGTATTAAAAAATAAAATATAAAATTTAACATTGGTCAAATAATTAGCCCGGCTAAATACATAGCATTATAAATCAGGAACTTTGATAATCATTTGATTTTCTTTCATTAAAAAATAATAATAAATTTAAGTTCAGTTTTTTTTCCCGTTTAATTAATCTTCTTTTGATTATTGAGAACAAAACTTAATATTTCAATTATGCTTTTATCAATGCATGAAAACTTCTAAAGAAATTTGTAAGGTAATTTTTACTATATTATTATTATAATATCTATTGTAACCTTATATTTTGAATTATTTATTATCATCATCTATTGACAGCAATTGTCATTGACAAACTCTCAAAACAATTTGTCTCAACAACGAATGAAAATTAAAAAAAAAAAAAAATCAATGATTTCATTATTGTGGATGAAAAGTATGTACGCCACTTTATTCAATTGTTATGCTGTGGAACTGTGTCCACCTTGCAATGTGGACACAGTTCTATGTTCATAATTACTGAACTATATATTCATAATAATAAAGCTATAATTCATAATTTTTGAACTTCATATTCATAATTATTGAACTCTATATTCACAATTACAGAACTCTATGTTCATAATTACTGAAGTATATGTTCATAATTATAAAGCTATATATTCATAATTTTTTAACTTCATATTCACAATTATTGAATCTCTATATTCATAATTACAGAACTATATGCTCATCATTATGTTCACAACTCTATGTTCATAATTATAGAACTATATGTTCATAATTTTTGAACTATATATTCATAATTATGAACAGTTTTGGAACCGTGTCCACCTTTGTCCACCTTGCAAGGTGGACACGGTTCCATATCATAATTTTCCGACTTTATTGCTCTTATTACTTAAATTAAAAAATAAATTAGTAGCTACAACAAAAAAATAATACATATGCATTTAATTAATTTAGAATTAGATGTCTCACAACACATGAAACATGTAGGGAAAAACTACCGCTACCAAATATCAACATTGCTTGTAAGATAAAGAGTTTATAGCACAATTAAGATCTCAGTCATATACACAACAAGACAAATCTAAAACTTCATACACCATAATATCATTGCATTGCATGATGAATCCCTCTATGATACTACCAATAACCCAATTGCACATGACACACTACCAATAACCAACAAAAAAAAAAAAAAGAAAAAAAAAAGACATGTACTGAAGATGAAAACAATAACAATGCTACCTAAGAGAGAATTAGAAAAATTTAAACCAAAAATAGTATGGAGTATTTATTTAGACTATCGCTTTTAGACTTAGTACTTAGATTAGGGTTATTACAAAGTTGCAAACATTTATTTTTGTGACAGTTATATATAATCAATCTCTCATATATTATCTTGCATTTATATATTTTAAATTACCGATTTAAATAAACAAATTTAACATTTATTTACTTATGTATGAACATTTTCTATATAATATTGCATTGATATACTTTGAAATACTTATTTAAAAATAAGTATTGAGCATTATCCTATTCGCGCAAAGCGCGTAGAAAAACTAGTAATAATATACAATTCTAATAAGAGCCAATAATGTTAGGCCCCTAACTGGAATAAAAACAATGTCGGTACTACTTGTTTCTTAAAATGAATGGTTCATAGTATTTTGATTTTAGTATTTTTAATGATTTTCCTTATTTACCCTTTATTATATTATTTTCTTTCCTTAAATAACCTTAAATTCCGTTAGTATAAACTTTATTAACGGAATATTCCGTTAACTATTTTTTTTTTTTGAAAATATATGTGGTGCTTTATTAAAAATATGTCGAAATAATGTCTGGTGGGAGAAGATCCCAGTACATAGCAGCCGATTGCTGATATGCTGAAGTAGCTAAGGCATGAGCTATAAAATTGTCTAGTCTAGAAATAAAATGGAAAGAACAAGACTGAAAATAAGCTGTAGCTGCTCTGCAGGCGTCAATGGCATAGCCGACGTAAGTGCGAAACGTAGTAGACGGTGTAGTAAGATAACGCTGTAGCATTAAACAATCTGTATATATTTCGATGTTCTGTTCCCCTCGATCCTTTAACCATGACAAAGCCTCCTTGCATGCCAATGCCTCGGCCATAAGTGGTGAGAAACAATCCGGGAGGGGTGCACTGAAGGCCGCGACATACCCTCCATTCATGTCTACGAGGATTGCCCCAACCGTAGCCTTGCCCGTATTGTGTATAAACCCCGCGTCGATGCGACATAGCCTCCGAGGTGGCTCTTCCTGTACAATACCGTGAGGTCCGAGTGGCGCATGAGAGCCAAGATGTTGAGATTGCGTTGCAGGCAGTGGTACGTGGTTTTGGACTGCTGGCGGGTTTGCCCTTCTCCATGCATGCAATGCCGAATTCGCTGCTGCCAACAAAGATTGTGGCCGTGGTAATAGAGCATTCCAAACCGCCCCGTTCCGTGCTCTCCAAATATTGTAGAGGATTGATGCTGCATATAACATCCCATCAAAATCTAAAACATTTAGGAGCTCACCAAACCAAATATGAAAAATATTCGTTATAATATTGGGGATTGGAAGGTTGGATCGGTCCCAAATGTTCTTTGCAAATTCACATAACACTAAAGCATGCATAGTGTCCTCTTGAGATGATCCACACATGGCACAATATGGGTTTACTTTTACCCTCTTTATAAGCAAGTTAGAAGTGGTAGGCAGTATATCACAAATGGCTCTCCATAGGAACATTCTCCATTTTGGGGGTATTTTGAGTTTCCACAAGGTTAACCACTTTGTAAAGGTCCCATTCTCATTCCCATAATTACCAACTATTAATCTGTATCCGCCCTTTACAGAATAAACTCCTCTCGGGTCCCCAGGCCAATACCAAGTATCATCATAATCCGGAGAAACTGGTATTTTAAGAATATTTGCCACATCACTAGGATGAAAAAGATCAGTTAAAATTGAAAGATCCCAAGTCCGTGTTTGTTGATCAATCAATCCCACCACCTTAGCATCCTGTAACTGTACTGGCATCTCTGTTTGTATCATGGGGTCTTGGTCGTCCTGTAACCAAGGATGGGTCCATATGAGTGTAGATTCCCCATTTCCAATCCTCCGTCTTACCCCACTACAAATGATACTCTTGGCTGCCATAATACTCCGCCAGCAGAAACTAGGATTATTTCCCACTTGTGCATCAAAAAATGAGCCTTTGGCATAATACCGTGCTTTATATATACGAGCTACCAAGGACTCAGGTTTAGTAAGCATTCGCCACGCCTGTTTTCCCAACATAGCCAGGTTAAAAGCACGCAATTCCTTGAATCCCAAACCCCCATATTTCTTAGGAACACATAGTTTGTCCCAAGCCTTCCAATGTATCCGTCTATCAGTTCCAGAGTCCCACCAGTAACGATTCATAGTCCTCTCAATCGCTGTACAAACAGAAGTTGGCAGCAGGAAGACACTCATTGAAAAGGTAGGCATGGATTGTGCTACACTTTTCAATAAAATTTCTTTACCTGCCTGTGATAATAACCTCTTATTCCATGACCCAATTCTTTGCCGGATTTTATCCTCTATATATGCAAAAGCTGCCTTTTTGTTTCTCCCTACAAATGAGGGGAGTCCCAAATACTTGCCAAAATTAGGAGCCTGGCCAACTCCCAGAACTTGCGCCACCACTTCCTTACTTGCGTTACTCGTGTTCCTACTATAACATATGCTTGACTTGTGGTAATTAACCACTTTCCCAGATAAATCCTCATAGACTGATAGACACCTCTTGATCTCACTGGCCTCTTGAACATTGGCTTTAAAAAACAGAAGGCTATCATCAGCGAAAAACAAGTGAGAGATTGGGGGAGCACCTCTTGCCACTCTGCATCCATGGATCAAACCCCTATTGTGAGCCTGCTGTAATAACAAAGAAAGGCCCTCTGCACAAATAATAAAAAGATAAGGAGATAATGGGTCTCCCTGCCTTAAACCACGTGTGGGTAAAATAGGTTCACTCCTAGAGCCATTCACCAATAAATTATACGAGACTGTAGATACACAATTCATGATTAACTGCACCCATCCAACATCAAAACCCAAAGCCAACATCATTTTTTCCAGGAAAGGCCACTCCATCCGGTCATAGGCCTTTGCCATATCAAGCTTCAAAGCACTCCACCCCACCATGCCACACTGTTTCCTGTTCAAAAAATGACCCACCTCCGCTGCTACCAAAATATTATCAGTTATAAGCCTATCTGGAATAAAGGCACTCTGCGATTCCGATATGACTCCTTCCATCAGCGGTTTCATTCTATTTGTTATCATCTTTGCCATAATCCTATAGATCACATTACTGAGGGCTATAGGACGCAAGTCAGTTACTAGCTCAGGGGTCTTTTTCTTTGGGATCAAAATAATATCTGTACTGTTTAAGCTAGGTGGTAGATTGCGTGAGTTAAGACATCCCATGACAAAAGTCGCAACATCCCCCCCTACCACATCCCAAAAATGTTGATAGAACCCCGGGTTCATTCCATCCGGGCCCGGTGCCTTATCAGGAAACATTGCAAACAGGGCCGATTTAACTTCATCAAATTCAAAAGGCAGTAACAACAACTCATTCTGTGCCTGAGTGACCCGCGGAACAATTCCCTAAAAAAAACTCTCCCCAGATCCCGGATTTTCAGAGCAAAAAATACGATTGAAATATTCCAAAATAACATTATTCATGGGTTCCCCTTCCACCCAATCCCCATTATCATTCATTAGTCTGGCAATAGTATTCTTCTTTTTACGATGAGAGGCGTACCTGTGAAAGAACTTGGTATTGGCATCGGCCTCCTTGAGCCAGTGTTGCTTGGCCCTCTGCCTCCAGTAGGCATCCTCCTGGGCTTCAGTACGGCATAGAAGTTGTTCCAGGGATTGAAACTCAGCAAGCGAAGCCGGGTCCGTGCATCCCCTTAGTCGTTGCTGCTTCTTCTTAAGATCAATAATCTGCTTACCATACTTATGGTGCCGATCTCCACCCCATCGTGTTAATCGACTACCACAATATTCAATACAATGCTGCAGACCCTGTCCCCTTCCTTCCTGTCATGCCTGCTCGACTATCCCTCTACACCCCTCCTCATATAACCACGCTGCCTCAAAACGGAATCCCCTCCTTCTCGTTCCATTCGTCCCTAAGGATTCATGGATACCCAGATAGATAGCCGAATGATCAGATTTTCGGGTTCTCAAGTTCACCACCCTGGCCATTGTTACCATACTACGCCACTCATCTGTTGCCAGGACTTTATCAAGTCTCTCCTCAATCCAATCAACTGTTCCCTTCCCCTTCTCCCATTCCGTTAACTATTTATTATTCTTAACTTACTCATTAATTTCTATAAGAAAGGTCTTAGGTTCGAACCTCATTCCAATTAGAGTTAGCATAATTGTTAAGCATATACTACGAATATGTTAAAATGTATTAAAAAATAAAATATAAAATTTAACATAAACTTTGGTCAAATAATTATCCCGACTAAATACATAGCATTCAATGATTATAAATCAGGAACTTTGATAATCATTTGATTTTCTTTCATTAAAAAAATAATAAATTTAAGTTCAGTTTTTTTTTCTTCGTTTAATTAATCTTCTTTTGATTATTGAGAACAAAACTTGATATTTCAATTATGCTTTTATCAACGCATGAAAACTTCTAAAGAAATTTGTTAGTTAATTTTTACTATATTATTATTATAATAATATCTATTGTAACCTTATATTTTGAATTATTTATTATCATCATCTATTGACAGCAATTGTCATTGACAAACTCTCAAAACAATTTGTCTCAACAACGAATGGAAATTAAAAAAAAAAATCAATGATTTCATTATTGTGGATGAAAAGTATGTACGCCACTTTATTCAATCGTTATGCGGTGGAACTATGTCCACCTTGCAATGTGGACACAGTTTTATGTTCATAATTACTGAATTATATGTTCATAATTATAATGCTATATATTCATAATTATTGAACTCTATCCTCACAATTACAGAACTCTGTTCATAATTAATGAACTATATGTTCATAATTATAAATCTATATATTCATAATTGTTTAACTTCATATTCACAATTATTTGATCTCTATATTCATAATTACAGAACTATATGTTCATAATTATGTTCACAACTCTATGTTCATAATTATAGAACTATATGTTCATAATTTTTGAACTATATATTCATAATTATGAACAGTTTTGGAACTGTGTCCACCTTTGTCCACCTTGCAAGGTGGACACGGTTCCACATCATAATTTTCCCACTTTATTGCTCTTATTACTTAAATTAAAAAAATAAATTAGTAGCTATAACAAAAAATAATATATATGCATTTAATTAATTTAGAATTAGATGTCTCACAACACATGAAACATAGGTGAAAACTACCACTACCAAATATCAACATGTGCTTGTAAGATAAAGAGTTCATAGCACAACTAAGATCTCAGTCATATAAACAACAAGACAAATCTAAAACTTCATACACCATAATCTCATTGAATGATGAATCCCTCTATGATACTACCAATAAACCAATTGCACATAACACACTACGAATAACAAAAAAAAAAAAAAAAAGAAAAAAAAAAGACATTTACTGAAAATGAAAACAATAACAATGCTACCTAAAAGAGAATTAGAAAAATTTAAACCAAAAATAGTATTTATTTAGACTATCGCTTTTAAACTTAGTACTTAGATTAACGTTATTACAAAGTTACAAACATTTATTTTTGTGACAGTTATATATAATCAATCTCTCATATATTATCTTGCATTTATATACTTTAAATTACCGATTTAAATAAACAAATTCAACATTTATTTACCTATGCATGAACATCTTCTATATAATATTGCATTGATATACTTTGAAATACTTATTTAAAAATAAGTATTGGGCATTATCCTATTCGCGCAAAGCGCGTAGAAAAACTAGTATATAATTCTAATAAGAGCCAATAATGTTAGGCCCTTAACTAGAACAAAAAAATGTTGGTATAATTGTTTCTTAAAATGAATGGTTCATATTATTTTGATTTTAGTATCTTTCAATGATTTTCCTTATTTACCCTCTATTATATTATTTTCTTCCCTTAAATAACTTAAATTCCGTTAGTATAAATTTTAGTAACGGAATATTCCGTTAACTATTTATTATTTTTAACTTACTGATTAATTTCTATAAGAAATGTCTTATGTTCGAACTTCATCTCAATTAGAGTGGTATAATTGTTAAACTTATATATACTACGAATATGTTAAAATGTATTAAAAATATATAATATAAAATTTAACATAAACTTTGGTCAAATAATTAGTTTGACTAAATACATAGCATTCAAATATTATAAATCAGGAACTTTAAAAATCATTTGATTTTTATGCATTTAAAAAAAAAAAAAAAACAAATTTAGGTTAAGATTTTTTTTTTTCGTTTAATTAAATCTTATTTTGATTATTTAGAACAACACTTAATATTTCAATTATACTTTTGCATTATTGGTATGATTTATGTCATTATGGTATTAATATTTTTTGTATGTATTTTTTATGATGGTACAATTGTACATTACTTTATAAATATTATACCATTTTTTTTATCGGACAAAATTGTTCTTACATCATTGTTAGACATGTGCGACCTAATTACAAAGTTGTTGATCATAAATACAATTTCACCTGGACTCTAAAACAATAGTACCATTTTCTAAAGAATTGACAATGTTGACATCACACTGGCTCCAATTGAACAAGTTTACACATCAGAATTTTATCAATGCATGAAAACTTCTAAAGAAATTTGTAAGTTAATTTGTACTATATCATTATAACAATATCTATTGTAACTATATATTTAAATTATTTATTATCATCATCTATTGACAGGAATTTTAACAATTGTCATTGACAAACTCTCAAAACAATTTGTTTCAACAACGAATGAAAATTTAAAAAGAAAAAATCAATAATTTCATTATTGTTGATGAAAAGTATGTACGCCACTTTATTACTCTTTCACAATATTTGGCATTTCAAATGCTGCATCTCTCTTCACATCTGCCACTTCCTTGCTCGTCTTCTTGTCCATCCTAACTTCGCGCTATGCAGAACAAGACTTCCTATATGCTCTTCCCAAGAGATTAATCATAGGCCTCTTCACCTTGTTTTTGTCCATAATATTTATGATGATTGCCTTCTCCGCCACCGTGTATCTGGTATTTGGGCATAACAGAAGGGGAGTTCTTATTATAGTGGCTGGATTTGCATGCTTGCCGGTCACTTCATTTGTGCTTCTTCAATTCCCTTTGCTGGTAGATTTGGTGTCATCTACGTACGGACGGGGCATTTTCGATCAGCATGGCTTTCCCCAACTCCCATATTGATTTGCATGTTACTCATAATTAATTGGTTGATGATAGGCAAACTCTAGACTTCTGTTCCCGTTTCTAGATGATCACATTGATTCCCTTTTGTCAATTATGGTAAAAAAGGGGGAGTTAATTTCTTGAGGGAGAGCAACCAAAGCTCATGCGGTAAAACTAGAGGGTGTGTTTGGTTCGAACATGGGAATCGGAATTGAAATGGGTATCAAATACTTGATATTGGTAATGAGTTTTGGTGAAAGTATTTTACATTTTTGGTAGTAGAGTGGAATGGAAATGGTTACTAATAATAGTGCTTGAGAATGAATAATGGAATGAAACCCTTATTTTATTAGGATATGGATTTTTCAGTTGATGAGGTATTCGAAACCCATTTAGTGTTCTAAAAACCCATCAACCAAACAATAATAATCACTTTCATACCCATTCATGTGAGCAGAACTCATCAACCAAACACACCCTTAGCCATTTTAATTACTTTTGATGATGATATTAAAATGTTCACATTATATTTATAGTAAAAGAAATAACAAGCTATAGCTAACCACTACCCCCACTAACACCTACCACTAACCATTACCCCCATTAACAAATACCACTAACCCACTAAAAGAAATTAACAATCCACTAACTTTTAACTTGGTATAATATCATTTTAACATCAATTTGCCCAAAATGGTCCAGACAAGCCAATTCATTCTGAGATTTAATTAATTACATCCCACTACTTTGCGCATAGAAAAGAACCTTTATGCTATACAATTCAAACTTTTTCTAAAAGAAATTGTATATATAGTAATGCAAACTCATGAGGAAAAAAAAGCAAATAAATAATAAAATAGTTTCATAGGGTCAAACTTGGTAACTCAACTTAAAATTTTGTTTTTACCAATATTGACTGATTTGGCTATCCCTGTAATAATTAAGTGGGTAGCTAGCAAAGATAGTTGTTGAACAGATAAGATTTGAGAAAATAAATAAATGCATGGTACGATGTAATGAATTCGAAAATAATTGTTTAAAAAGAATTATTATTTGTAATATAGTTTTAACAACCATTTATATCATTAATTAAGAAGAATGGGCCCTCATGTTTGGAATTTATTGGGTGTTTGTTTTATTAATAAAATTTTGTCCTCTTCACCACCCTTCATACCATATAATAGTAAGAAAGTTGTAGCTAGCTGACAGCCGACCAGCTATATACAAATCCAGCCATTATTGTGAACAAATATATATAAAACATAGCGTGCCAGGTCATCAATTGCCATTTGAGTTAAGATCATCAGATAGAATAAATTTGCAGAAATTAAATAGCATCTTCTTCCCAAGCACTTACTCAAAAACCAGGCAGAGTGGTTTAATTTGATTCATTAATTCTAGCTAGCTTCTCCATATATGATATGATCATATGATGTTACCCACTTACCCGCAATAGATTTCAGCACCCTTCCATTATACAGAGCTATAGTGGCAGCATTGGGAGGAAGCTCAAATATTCTTCAACCAAATAAAACCCCGCAGCAATCCAATCTCCTCTCAGCCAATTGATCTCGCCTTATAGCGACCGCATCTGGTAGACTCAAACAATATTGAAATTCGTTCTCATAGCTTACTACGAAAAATATGTCGGGGTTAAAAGATTGACAACTTTAATATATATATATATATATATATATATATATATATATATATATATAATTTGAGAGGAGAAAAAGAAGAACAAAAAAGGACTTAACAATATTGATTCTAAGGATGATATTAAAATGTTTTGTAAAACATTATATTTATAGTAAAAGATAGCTAAAAAAAAAAAAAAACACAACCCCACTAACCATTATCCCATTAACATATACCGCTAACCCACTAAAGAAATTAACAACCCATTAATTTTTAACTTGGTTTAATATCAGTTTAACATCAATCGGCTCAAAATGGTGCAGACGAATCAGCTCATTCTGAGATTTGATTAAATTACATCCCGATTTCTGTATTTGCAAGTAAGATATAGGGCTTTTATGTTATACAATTTAAATTTATATATATATTTGAAATTTTCATGGTGCTTTCATTAGAAATATGCAGCAATAATGTCAGGTGGGGATAGATCCCAATACATAATAGTAGGCTGCTGGAACGCAGCGGATGCTAAAGCATGAGCTAAATAATTGTCTGATCTAGGGATAAAATTAAAAGAATAAAAGTCAAACAAAGCTACAATAGACTTACAGCTATCAATAGCATAACCAACATATGAACGAACTGTAGATGGGGACGAGACGAGATATCGTTGCAATGATAGGCAATCTGTGTAAAGATGTACTGCTGCTTCGCCCCGGTCCTTGAGCCATGATAATGCTTCTTTGCACGCAAACGCCTCGGCCATGAGTGGTGAGAAACAATTTGGAAGAGGGGCACTGAATGCTGCCACATATCCTCCATTTGCATCGAGTAGTACCGCCCCTACCGTTGCCACACCTAAGTCGTGAAGATAGGCGGCATCCACGCGGCATTTCCTGGGTAACGTTGTCGCTGTGATGGGTGGCACGGTGGGTGTGAGGTCGTGCGGCAGCGGTAGTCCCCCCAGTAGGTTCCGGATGTTGTGGCTGCGTCATGGCAGTGGCTGGTGGCCGTGCAACGCGCCATGCATGCATGGTCGCCGTGGCCATGACTAATAATCTCGTTGGCCGTGGCAAGGCGGCATCCCACACTGCTCCATTCCGTGCTCTCCAAATATGGTATAAGATTGCTGTTGCATATAGAGTCTAGAATATTTAGGAGATCAGAAAACCAAACGTGAAAAACATTCGTCACAATATTGGGAATTGGAAGGCTAGATTGTTCCCATATGACTTTCGCAAAATCACATAGCACCAAAGTATGCATAGTATCCTCTTGAACAATTCCACATAGCACCTTATCTAGTCTCTCTTCGATCCAGTTGATGGTTCCTTTACTTTTTTCCCAGGTAAATTGATAACCATCCATCGTCATTTGGGCTAATCCACAGTCTTCCAGCGCCTCCCCAAAACCGCGTAAAAGGCCATTCAGGTGCAAATTTCCTCCTCTTTTCTCATGTTGGTAGAGCAAGTCATTAAAATCCCCCACAACAATCCACGGGAGGTCTGACTTACCAGATAGGGATCTCAATAAATTCCACGACTCCATCCGCCTGTCACGCTGCGGGAAACCATAGTAACACGTCATGCGCCAGTCCGGGAAACCAGCTATAGTAACTACCACATCAACATAGTTCTTCGAGTAACTTAACAGTCTCCCCGTGTTATTTTTCCGCCACAATAAAGCTAGCCCTCTACTCAAACCTCCGTTATCAACATAAAACAAACCCTCAAAGCCAAGTTTCACACGAATACGCTCAGCATGTGCCCTTTCCACCATAGTTTCCATCAAGAAAATAAAATCGGGTTTCTTACGGGACGCAAGGTCCATTCTAATGGGAGACAAATGCTCTGTTTGGCAGAGCTTATTTAGAAGTTTATAACTTATTTTAAGCGGCTACTAATAAGCTATAAACCCTGTTTGGTAATGTTCCCAAATAAGCTCGTAGCTTAAATAAGAGTTTATTATAGAACGCTACCTTCTTGTAGCATTTCAAAATAAGCTACTAGGTTCCTAACTTTTTTTCCATCCCTGTCCTAATTATTTTAAAGAAATGACTTTCTTTTACCCTTCCCCCAATTAAAATCATTCTCTCTTCTCCGCAACTTTTACCGCAATTATTATTATTATTATTATTATTATTATTATTATTATTATTATTATTATTATTATTATTATTATTATTATTATTATTATTATTATTATTATTATTGTTGTTGTTGTTGTTGTTGTTATTATTATTGTTATTGTTATTATTATTGTTGTTGTTGTTGTTGTTATTATTATTGTTATTGTTATTGTTATTGTTATTGTTATTGTTATTGTTGTTATTGTTATTGTTATTATTATTATTATTATTATTATTATTATTATTATTATTATTATTATTATTATTATTATTATTATTATTATTATTATTATTATTATTATGAGATGAAGGAGATTCACAACAATATTGCTTCTTCATTATGGGATCTAGATCATGATTATGTTAATAATTTAATTTCAAAATGTTAAATTTTTTTTTGAAGACAAAATGTTAAATTTTATTATGTAGACAAACTAATTTAAATTTTATGAAGATGTACTTTTATTGTCTTTTTACATTTATCAAGCTTATCAAAAAACTAATTTTATCAAACACTTTCAAGCATAATAGCTAGCTTAACAACTCTTTAGTTTTCAGCTCCTAGCTTATAGCTTTTCAGCTTTGAGCTCCTTTTAAGCTTTCAGCTAGGTTTGCCAAATATAGCCAAAAAAGAATGCCAATAAACAATAAAACAATTCCATATAATTAATCTCAAACTTAGTAACTCAACTTAATTATTAATTTTTTTTTACCAAGTTTGACTAATTTGGTTGTCCTGTAATAATAAAGTGGGTAGTTAGCAAGATGGTTGTCAATTGTTATACCATGGACTAGGGTTCATATTGCATTGTGAATTCTGGTCCAAAAATTAAGTATATACCGTTAACATATTTTGCACATACAGTTAATAATTTCTGTATCTGTAAACAAATTGAAAGCACATAACATGGTAATTACAAACATATAAAATGATAATTGCGGACACAAATTATTAAC